TCCTTTCTAAAATGTTCCATGCAAGATATGAATTCAACTTTTTATTATTATTATTATTATTATTATTATTATTATTATTATTATAATAAAAAATCAAATTAAAATGGATAATAAAAAAATTGCTATTAAAATGGAAAGCTTGGCATTAGATTCCAATTTTTAACCATCAAACTTTCAGAATCTGTTACAAGTTAAAAAATATAATGAAAAGACACTTTCAAAACAAATTCAAATTCAAATTTATTAAACAAGGAGCATACATTACAAAGGTGAAAGGCGGGGTTAGAATGGACAAATTCCATGATCATGATCATGATCATGTGCTGGTATCATGCTCCATACCCATACATCCGTCATGTTACATCACATGCACAAGTGTAGTAGATATAATACTCTTACCTCCTTATGCCACGTGTCCTTGAACAGATCTCAGCCATTCGATATCTATATACATATATTATCTAAAGCTTTGCCCTCATTGGATACAAGCCACAAGTGGTCGGCATGGTGGTTGGATACGACGTTTTCACCTTTTTCTATTCAAAAAGTTAGAAAGAGTAAATTACGTTTTTCATCCATGACTATGAATTGTTATCAATAATAGTCCCTTCATTTAGAGTGATTAGCATTTTCGACCTTTGCTAAAAAAACCCAAAATTATAATTTTTAATATATTTAAACTTTGTTATAATTTTTCTAAAATAAAGTATCAAAAACTAAAAAAAAAAACCTTTAAAATGAATTACATCCAACTCCAAAAACTACTCGATTTTAGCAGTTAAATCATTGTGGAGGTTTCTATCATCTGTCTTCCTTTTTTCTATTGAAATCGAAAAGACAAAGAACAACAATTCATTTAAGGAAAACGAAAACCTCGTTAGAATTTAATTTGGACAAAGTATCAGGTATTGTATTTATGAAAGAAGTCATACAACCAGTATTATCACGATCACATTTTATAGCAATTAAGGAAATAGGTCTAATGCATTGATTAATTTGGTACACGGGTGCGCCTAGATGGACAAAAGTGAGCTGGCGATGTGAAAAGATTATGGAGGTTACGTGTTTTTCAAATAAGTATCAGATGTCATGAAACAGTATTATGAAATTTGTATCATATAAAAAAAGTAATATGCTCTATTTAAACGAGTCTACATGTATCTTTGTTTTTTCAAGGAATCAATAGACCATTTGGCGATTGTAAAGTTTAGACCCTGTTTAGGGATTGCTTATAAAAAACAACTTATTGACTTATTTTGGTGTAACATCGGTAATAAACACTTTTGAGTGTTTGGATAAACAACTTATACCGGTGTCAAGTCAGTAATAAGAAGATTTTGTAGAAGTTAAATTCTTCTGACTTATAATAAGTTGATAAATGCTTTTGTAGAAAATCATCAGTTGTTTCAAATAAGCAATCTCAAACACTCCTATGATACCAACGTGATTATGGTATGTAATATATTGTTTAGGGACTGAATATGTTATGAATCCATAATTAAAAAGTAATTTATAAAGCAATAAATAATAAATATGAAAAAAAAAGGTTTCGTCTTTACACTTTTTGTCAAGTGGTGTATTCGGCCAGATATTTTAGGCCCTGCCCGTAATGTTGCCCGCTCATTCTCCACCACTGAAGGTAGCCACGTGTATGAATCTTAACAAAAGTAAGCCCTAAAGGTCAGCTACCTGCCCATCACCTTTTTTATATTTTCCCTTTTTTTTTTTAATTTTCATTTCATATGCTTATATTTATACTATATTATAAAGATTTGACAAAAACTCTTAAAAACCATTTTTATGTACGAAATACTATTTATTGATGCATATTACTTAAAATTTATAATTACAAGTAAATTATGCATAAATACAACTTATTAAAACTCCATATTTGAATTCGTGTAACTAACCGCAAATAAACATAATTAAATATTGAATAAACATCTCATTTTAAATATAAAAAATTTAACATATAATTAGAATAATCATAGAGTTTTAACCGAATATTTAGTTATTATCTTTTTAAAAAATTATATTATTAAACCTAAATTAAATTTCTTTGTTACTAAACCTAAATTAAATTATAATAAAAAATTTTAATTAAAAAAATTACACCAAAACACAAGAGCTTTTAAAAAGATTAATTTGATATTGATATCGATATTTAAAAAAAATAATTATGATATCTTTAGATTTATATTTTATTCAAAAATAAAAACATTATCGCTTTCTCAAAACCACATAAAACCATATTATATCGACATAAAAAAGGAATAAAACGAAATACTAAAATCAAGAAATGTCTCGATGCATTGCACGAGTTCCTTTTTAATATGTCATTAATAAAAGCATCAACAACACACAAACCTTTTTTTATTAATTAATTAAAACATGTCTAAAACAAATATCTATTTTCAGTTGGAATTATTATAAAATGTCAACCCATAAGGCATTGGCTAATTAAACATGGTTTTGTGTTCCACTTAAAAAAAAAAAAGGAGTCAACTCCCATTTAGAATTGATTTGAATTGGAGATATACATGTACAAGCATTATTGATATATAACCATTATTATTACTAATATAACAATCAGTTAAATAATTAAAGGGTTCCTAGAAAGTCAGGGGTTCAAACTTCGACAAAGATGAAGAAGGTGTATGAGTTTATTTATTGCATTTGTCGTATATAAATATTATATACTTAAAAAAAACAATCAGTTAAATAATGAGTGTGACATAAGCATATGAAAGTAAAACATAATGAAAAATATCATTATATTTTAGAATAGCCATATTTGGAAGAAAGTAAAAGATGGAAAATAGGGGTGCAATATGAAATATCAAAAAGAATGATATAAAACAAATTATGTAAACTAGAAGGGTACTCGTGTAATGCATCGAGACACATCTTAATTAAATGTTTTGTTGTATTCTTTATCTATATCGATATAATACGGTTTTATGTGGTTTTGAGAAAGCGATAATGTTTTTATTGTTGAATAAAATATAAATTCTAAAATATCATAACATTTTAAAAAGAGTATAGGGATATTAATATCAAATTAACTATTTAAAATTTATTGTTTTGTGCAATTTCTTTAATTCAAATTTTTTATTATAATTTAAATTTAATTTAGGTTTAATAATATAAATTTTTATAAAGATAATAATTAAGCATTCTGTTATAATTCAATGATTATCCTAATTTTATTTTAGATATGTTATTTTTAAAATGGGATCTTTATCCTGTATTAGATTATGTTTATCTGTACTTAGTTACACGAATTCAAACATGAAGTTTTAATAAGTTGTACTTATGCATAATTTACTTGTAATCTTGAGTTTTAAGTAATATGTATCAATAAACAGTACTTTGTGTATAAAAGATGGTTTTTAAGAGTTTTTGTCAAATGCTTTATAATATAGTATAGATAACTATAAAGGTATACAATGTAAGTATTAAAAATATTTAGTATATATTTGTGATTATTAATGATATTATCAAATTAAAGAATATTTAATATTTAGTATTAATAAGACAATTATGGTGATATAATTTGTAAAAAAAGAAATGTATTTTATAATATATTTGTAGTTAATATACGATTATGTATGTTAATATTTAATAAAATATAAAATGAAAAAACATAAGGGATATAATTAAAATAAATTAATAACTATAAGGGTATAAAATATAAATATTAAAAATAACTTCTAAATTTTTTTAATAGCATGATTAAATCCAAAGATATTCAATATTAGACTCATATTGAAGGTATTGACGATACGATTATAATGTTGTAATTTGTTATCAACGCATTTTTTAAACATATTTGAGCTAATATACAATTATATATGTTAATATGATAAGAATATAAAATGAAAAACCAAGACATAGTATGGCAAACATCAATATTAATTATAAAACTAGCTTATTTTTTTCAGGAGTTTTTTTTTTGTCATTTTTTTCAATTATAACCCCTATTAATATTAATTACTATTAACTATATCATAAAATTAAAAGTTAGTAACTAAGGGTTGTTTACCAAAGCTTCTTTGGTAAGCGTTTACCCGTAATAATCAACACTTTTACTTAATTTATCGGGTAAGATTTTAGGTCACTAAAATGGTTTCTTATATAATATTTTTATCTGGTAAGAGCTTATTGGGTAAGAATAATAAGTCTCACTTACCGGATAAAACTATTGGTCTTTGTTATTACTCTTACCGTGTAAGATTTTCAATTTTTATCATGTTCATCCGATAAGAGAAAGTTACCTAGTTAACACTTATCGAGTAAACATTTGATAAACAACCCCTAAATGTCCCGAAGAGAGAGAAATGTATAACACAAAAGGAGATGAGTTTTAACAACCCCAATTATGTTAACATAGAAACTCAAATTTGTTTATTTGATCGCATATACATTAACCATATCTAAGTTTTTTAAAACAGATAAATAAGTGTTGGGGGTCATTTACTAAACGCTTACTTGGTAAGTGTCTACTGAATAAATTTCCTTATCGGATGAACATGACAAGAGCCAAGAATCTTACCGGGTAAGAACGATGAGAAGGATGGAGAGTCTTACCTCGGTAAGTGAATATTACAACTCTTACCCAAGTAAGCGCTTACCCGGTAAACTGTTGCATTCAATATGTTTTGATGTATTAAAATCTTACTCATCAAAATAAATATATGTATATATATATATGTATGGATGTATGTATGTGTCGATGTATGTATGTGAAGGAAGGCAGGCTGGCAAGTGGTAGTGGTATGGAAAATATCATTGCCACGTAGACGTACAAGTGCCAAAGCTGAAGGAAAATATCATTGCCACGCTGGCAACCTTAGATTTTTAAGTCCACACACATCACAGCTAAAGATCTCTCTCTCTCTCTCTCTCTCTCTCTCTCTCTCCACCAAATCTCCCCACCTTCAATCGCCTAATCTCTTCTTCTTCTTCTTCACCTTCAAATCATGTTGCCAAATCTCCATGCCGGAAGATCCACCCACAACTTTTCTCTCTCTATTTAATTCTAATCTTGACGCTTAAAAGAGCAGGTATACATACATACATATATATATATATATTAAGATTTCTTAATTTTGCTTCAATCCATGTAATGAAGTTCAGATTTGATGAGCTAGTTAATATGTTTGCATTTCGCCAAGAGGAAACTGAAAATAATTAGCTCTGATTACCTGAATTTAATGTGTTTCCCGTTACAGTTATTTGATTTTGGGAATCGGTTCATTATTTGGCAGATTAGAGGAGTTTAGTTGCTTTTTATATACGAGTATTTATTTCCTAGCGTTTTCTTGTCCTCTATTCTTTGAGGTTATCAAGTCTGAGTGTTGTAATTCTTTTTGTAATGATGTTGTTTTATTGAGTTAAATATAGACGTGTAGCACTTGGGCTTTTCCAGATTTTAGATTTTAGGGGATGTATTCATGAGCTAGATGTGGTGACTCTAGCTTGCAGATTTTCTTCACATACGTAAGGGGTGTGTGTGTGTGTGATTGTGCGTGTTTGTGGGTGTGATCTTTTCTGCTGTTTCAGCTTTCCTTGAAATTTGGCTATTTATTGGACTTGAATCATGTATTCAGGTCTTCTGTTTGGATGTGTTTTCTTTTTCGTGTTTGTTTTTTATACTTCACAAAAGTTTATTCGTTGGTTTTTTTTGGTCTCCACAATTGAGATCTCCATTTTCTTCACTGTTATGTTCTTGATTGTATTTACAACAAGACCTGCTTTGCCTGATAATTGTCATTTGGTTGTTTTTCACAGGGCTACAACGTAGTCCTATTGGACTGCATACTAAAAGAGCAATACTTGTGCTTTCAAAAAATTTGGATTTCGAGTTTCTAAACTCAAGTCTGCTGTAGTAATTGAACTGTTTAGTGAGAGACAGCGGCTGGTGTATAAAATGCTGAATTACAATCTTCTCATTCTTGATTGGTAGCAGCAGAAAAAGTTGAAGCTTGCAGATTCTACCATTGTCTCTGCCAATATTAGCAGAAAGGAAGGGATAGTCTAGACCTTTCGGATATGGCTGCTACATCTGCAAGGTGGACTGATGGTCTACAATTCTCGTCATTGTTTTGGCCGGCCCCACTAGATGTGCAGCAGCGGAAGGTATAATCAGTTTTCTTTGTTGCATTTTGAAGTTATAAAATCTTCAGAGGGTTCATGAATACATGCTGTGTATTTGCTAGACTCTTATTCAAGTAGATTGCTTAATTGAAGGAGCATGAGCCGAGCTCCTTTTTCTCCTTTTATCTATAATGGCAATCCATGTTCCATTTTTGGATTTGTGCTATTCTGGTCATGATGGTACTATAAAGTGATACTTAAAACTAAATATAAATGAACACCACAAAGGTTAGCTTGGTGTTCAAATTCCTTTTAAAGTGATCAAGTATCCAAATTTTGCTTCAAGTTTAAGTTCAAGTTTCAAAATCAATAGATTCAAGGTTACCTCTGCCTTCTTGATTTGGCATGTACTCATCTTCTTTCATGACCAGGCGCAAATTACTGCATATGTTGATTACTTTGGTCAATTTACATCAGAGCAATTTCCTGAAGATATAGCTGAGGTATTTCCTTTTGTAACCCTGTTTTTCTCTAATATTGTTGAGAACACAAATATTGAAGTAGTTTTATGTTACGTTCCTTACTCTGATACACATTTTTGCAGCTGGTTCGCCACCGCTATCCGTCACAGGAAAAACGTCTGTTTGATGATGTCTTGGGTATTGTGTTTCATACTTCCATCATTTTCATTGCTCCAGCTTTTGTATTTCGTGTTGACATATCATCTAATCAATCTAAAATTTCCAGCAACGTTCGTCCTTCATCATCCAGAGCATGGGCATACCGTCATTCTTCCGATTATTTCATGCATTATTGATGGTACCATGGAGTATGATAGGAGCACTCCATTTGCTTCATTCATTTCCCTTGTCTGCCCAAGTGATGATGTAAGAAACACCTTACTATCTAAGTTAAACTTTTCATGTTGTAGCTAACCGGTTCAGTTTTCTATTAAGCTGCATTATTGCATAGCTTTCTTGATTCAAACCTTGTCATTCTATTTAATGCGAATGGAGAATCAAATAGAAGCAAATGAGGAAACAAAAAGGTTCCATCACTAGATTTCTAATTTCTCCTCAAATATAAGTAGCTCTACCAATGAAGAGCCATATTCCAGCTCTTGAAGCTACTGCATATATTATACATGATATGATAATGGGGCTGAGGATATTTATAAGCTCTTAGGAATGGAACAGGTGCACCCCCAAAGATTTCGTCTATTGCTCAAGAATTTAAATTAATGATGTAATTACATGTTCTTTTTCGTAGAAACCCACTATCTTTTTGAAGTATATATTATTTATAGATGACAAATGATCTGACACACCTTACTCATCTATAGTGATTAACCAGACCTGGCCTTGATATCGTTAGCACAAAGACCCTATTTTCTAGGTGTAACTTTTTGAATTCCTCAAAAAGCACTCTCTCAACCAAGAAGGACCGACCCAAAAGCAGTACCAGATCCCTAATAACCATTTCATATTAGATTACTTTAATGCTTTTGTTAGATTAGTCAACTCTATGGTCAGAACTATGAAAACATATAACACGTGTCCTGAAATGCAGAACGAGTATTCTGAACAGTGGGCACTGGCATGTGGAGAGATTTTACGAATCTTAACCCATTACAACCGGCCGATTTTTAAGGCCGATCGTCAGCAAAATGTTACAGATAGAAGCAGCAGTGGAAGCCAAGCTTCAACAAGTAACTCTCCAGATAGTGAAACTTCTTCACCATCTGCGCAGAATGACCTGAAACCACTGAGGCCTTTGTCTCCCTGGATTACTGACATCTTGCTCGCTGCGCCTTTAGGCATCAGAAGTGACTACTTCCGCTGGTAAGGGGTGTTTCACCTATAGAATTTGGTGTTTTCATCTGACAAACTGCTCCTCCGGTCGCAAGAAAATCAGATACTGTGTTTATTCACTATACCAACAGCTAGATTATATGGTACATACTTGACCGTTGCGGGGTCAGTTTTGTATTACTTGTTACCTTTTTATGCTTCTACATCAAGAGTGATCCACATTAGTTCTTTTCTGCTTTTGTTCATAAAGGTATTCAGTAATTATTAGTTTCCCTAAAACCAACCACTATTTTATGACATGGACAAACACTTTTGCAGTTGACGTATGCATGATTGTTCCATTGCATAAATTCCAAAGTGTAAACATTGCTTGAGGTTCAAGTTAGATAAATACATACCTGCAATCAGACACTCTTATATCATTGTGTTGCTTGGTAGCATCACAGTCCTTGATGTCCTTTGTACTGCTCTGTCTTCCACCCTAGGTACTTTTTTCAAAAGGGTATTATATACACCAATTGCAGAAGCTCATCAAACTTCTCTATACTCGTAGGTGTGGTGGTGTCATGGGAAAATATGCTGCAGGGGAACTCAAGCCACCTTCTGTTGGTAAGTGGACATGTTTATACATAGTTGATGTGTAAGTTGCTTATAATTGAATTGGAATGCTTTCAGTAATAGATAGGAGTGGGGATCTTTGGTCAAAATTTCTTGAGTTCGAAAGATATATCATGTGTCATTCCTTTCATAGGTTATGTCACTACCTTTGGTCTTACTACGACACATCGCTACTGGTCTTAGTATTGTGGCTATGAGCACCCATTTGAATGTGCTATTAGTTAGTGGCCTTCTCATGTCAGATTTATTGGCTCAGTTTGTACTTTTGTAAAAATAAGCATGCCAGAAAACAGCAGCCAAAAAGTTGCATGACAAAACTCAGTTTTTTGAGGATTAGCCTATATTAGATCAAAACTCAAAACATTGGTAAGAAATATCAACGTTTTCCTGAAAATCCATTTCCTTTGCAAGATGACTAGTTTCTTACAAGCTTGTCAAACCTGACAGCCTATGTAAGAAATTTGGTATCAGAGTCAGATATCAACATGGTGAATCCATTATAGCATACAAGAAGGAAACTTAAAATAAAGATATTTGGTTTCTCATAAGTTACAGCTCAATGCAGGCTTACCAAACACATGATAAATTACAAGTATCAATGGACATTGAAAATTTTCAGTGCACAAATCATCAAGTTTTCTTGATGTGCCTTTATCTCTGATAATCTATGAATGTGACAATAGCTGGTATGAGCCAATCTGCTTCTTGTGATTATTTGGTAAGAAATGTATATCAACTCATGGTCAAGCATTGCATATGATAATATCTTCATAAATCAATATTATGAAGATAACCTTTTGTTTGTTTATACGAAAAAGGATTAAACCTTTCTTACAGCATATAGTCACTATTAACTATATTCCTACTATTTATGTGGTTCCAATGGATTTGAGATGAAGGTTAAGTTGAGTACTTGTATGATCACCTTATTTACATTGATCCCTTGGTAATATTGCAGCATCCTCTTAACTACTAATTTCTGTACTTCATGATAATTATTATTGTTCAGTGTCTTTAAATGATAAGTACTGTCAGTTGTCACTTGTTGGATGAAAATAACACAGTTTTAACTTATATTCAGTCATGGCTTCTTCTCGAGGATCTGGAAAGCATCCACAGCTAGTTCCATCAACTCCTAGGTGGGCTGTTGCTAATGGTGCTGGTGTGATATTGAGCGTTTGCGATGAGGAAGTAGCTCGTTATGAGACTGCTACTCTGACTGCAGCTGCTGTTCCTGCTCTTCTACTTCCTCCTCCAACAACATCCATGGATGAGCATCTTGTTGCAGGCCTTCCAGCTCTAGAGCCATATGCAAGATTGTTTCATAGGTAACACAAGAAAAGAAAATATCTTTTGCATGGAAGCCTCATAAAAGTACTGGGTCAAGCGTTAATCTTTTCCTGTTTTAGGTATTATGCGATTGCTAGTCCAAGTGCTACCCAGAGACTTCTTCTTGGACTTCTAGAAGCACCACCATCATGGGCTCCAGATGCTCTTGATGCTGCTGTTCAGCTTGTAGAGCTCCTGAGAGCTGCAGAAGACTATGCATCCGGCATGAGAGTAAGTTAATTATGAAATTACATATATGTGATACCCCTTGTGGAATTGGTTTCACAAACTTCAATATCGCGTCATCATCTGTTATTTCCTCTAACTACCGTTGAGTCTTGCTTATCTTTCTTGTTGGAACATGTTTAGACAGTTGATTATACAACTCCTATTCCTAATACTATGTTTATTTCATGGTTGTAATGAAAAAGAGAAGAAAATATTTAGCAAACAGAAGTTAGAAATGGAATGTCTACTGATAGTTCCACTTGCGTATTATTAGATATCTGAGGCAGCATTGGTATTGATAGTGTGTGGAATTTTGTTAACCACTTCATTATGTTGATCGGCACATACACACTATACTGATTAATTCACCATCACAGCTTCCAAGAAACTGGATGCATTTGCACTTCTTGCGTGCAATTGGAACTGCAATGTCCATGAGAGCTGGCATTGCTGCAGATTCTGCAGCTGCTTTACTTTTCCGGATACTGTCCCAACCTGCTTTGCTTTTTCCTCCTCTTAGACAAATTGAAGAAGTTGAACTTCAAAACGAACCTCCAAATGGTCACAATCCAAGCCATAAAAAGCAGGTACACACCTTCAACAAATTTTAATATGATGGATTTGCTGCTTGGCGTTAGTTCCTCTAAACTTGTATCAACATAATTTATTTAAATTGACGGGTGATGTATGCAGAGAGAAATGCCAACAACTGAGGAAACGATTGATGCTACTGCCCAGGGAATTGCCTCGATGCTCTCTGCACATGGACCTGAAGTTGAATGGAGAATATGCACCATATGGGAAGCTGCTTATGGCTTAATTCCCTTAAGTTCTTCTATTATTGATCTACCTGAAATTATCGTTGCGGCGCCTTTGCAACCTCCCGCCTTGTCATGGAACCTGTACATACCCCTTCTTAAAGTTCTCGAGTATCTTCCTCGTGGAAGTCCATCTGAATCTTGTCTCATGAAAATCTTTGTTGCTACTGTTGAAGCAATTCTTCAGCGAACATTTCCAGCAGAGTCCTCGTATGATCGAACTAGGAAAACGACACATGTTTTTGGATCTGCCTCCAAAAATATTGCCGTGGCAGAGCTTCGCACAATGGTCCATTCCCTCTTTTTGGAATCAGGTGCCACTGTAGAGCTTGCTTCTCGACTACTTTTTGTTGTATTGACTGTTTGTGTAAGTCATGAAGCACGGCCTCATGGGGTTAAGAGGCCAAGAGATGAAGATAGTTTTCCTCCTGTTGGTGAAAAATTGGAAGCAATGTCCGGAAAGCAGAGAAATTTGGCATCTAAAAGATTAAATAAGCAAGGACCTGTTTCAGCTTTTGATTCTTATGTTCTAGCTGCAGTCTGTGCTCTTGCCTGTGAACTTCAGATCTTCCCATTGATTTCAAGAGTCGGTAAGCAATCAAACTCGAAGGATGTTGCAAAATCTGCAAAAGTGGTTGAAACTTTCAATGACTTCCGGAGTAGTATCGACTCTGCAGTTTGTCATACTCGTCGAATGTTGGCCATCTTAGAGGCACTATTTTCCCTGAAGCCATCTTCCGTTGGTACCTCATGGAGTTATAGTTCGAATGAAATAGTTGCTGCTGCTATGGTTGCAGCTCATATCTCCGAACTCTTTAGACGGTCAAAGGCTTGTATGCGTGCACTCTCTGTCCTGATGCGATGCAAGTGGGATAAGCCAATTCATTCTACAGCATCTTCACTATATAACTTAATTGATATTCACAGTAAAGCCGTTGCATCGATTGTCAATAAGGCAGAACCACGTGAAGCCCATCTACTGAATGCACCTCTGTGGAAAGATGCTCGTGTGTGCCTAAATGGTAAAAGACAAAATAGGGGCACAAATGCTGCTATCAGCTCCGGGAAAGGCCAGTCATCAAGCAAGTGTGATGATTCAAGATCACTACGTACATGTGAGGAAGTTTCCACTTTGTGCGAGGATTCAGAAAAAGGAATAACTAGTTTTCCATTCAATGCTTCGGAGTTGGCCAACTTCCTGACAATGGATAGGCATATTGGGTTTAATTGTGGTGCTCGAGTCCTTCTAAACTCTGTACTGACAGAGAAACAAGAGTTATGTTTCTCTGTTGTTTCATTACTCTGGCACAAGTTGATTGCATCACCTGAAACACAACTTAGTGCAGAAAGCACTTCTGCCCAGCAAGGATGGAGACAGGTAAGATGTCAGTTCCAGTCCATATGTATGCATTATAGTTGTTTTTTGATGCAATTTACATCTAAGAATTGATCCTTGTGGTTGATGGATCCATACAGGTGGTTGATGCACTATGCAATGTGGTGTCAGCATCACCAACAAAGGCTGCAACTGCTGTTGTCCTTCAGGTCTGGATTTCATTTAGCCCAGAGCTACAAACACTTGTCTGTTTTTAAATAAAGATGGATAATCAGAAATTATGTACTGTTTTGTGGGTTTTTCAGGCGGAAAGAGAATTGCAGCCTTGGATTGGTAAAGATGATGATGCTGGTGAAAAGATGTGGAGAATCAACCAGCGTATTGTGAAGCTGATTGTGGAGCTAATGAGAAACCACAATACCCCCGAGTCATTGGTAATAATGGGCAGCGCATTAGACCTCCTGTTGCGTGCCACAGATGGGATGCTTGTTGATGAAGAAGCATGTACTTTACCACAACTGGAGGTATGGTTTGATTTGATATAATGCTTTATTGTTGGTTAGTTGATGATATTAGTTAGTAAGAGAGTGATTGATTATTTCAGCTTTTGGAAGCAACGGCTAGAGCGGTTCAACCGGTGGTTGAGTGGGGAGAATCTGGAATGGCAATTGCAGATGGGCTCTCAAATCTTCTCAAGGTAAAAATAGCAAGTAACTCAAATATACATATATGTATGTATATATATAGTAGATTCAAATTAGAATTGATTGTATGATTTTATGTATGTAGTGTCGGTTGGGGGCCACAGTGCGGTGCCTATCTCACTCGAGTGCTCATGTGCGTGCCCTTAGCACATCGGTCCTTAGAGCCATATTGCAGGTGGACAATGTTATGGAGTGGGAGGGAGATGTAATAAGTAAATGTCTAACATGGGAAGCTCATAGTCGAATGGCAACAGGAATGCCGATTCAGTATCTTCATGCGGCTGCTAAGGAATTGGGATGTCCCATATTATCCATCTAGATTTCATTTTCATTTTCATTTTCTACTAACACGTAATGTAATGTTGAACTTAACGATAATTAACCGCTTGTACAGTAGTGTATCAGTAGTAGGATTTAATTGTGTTTGACAAACATCATGTATGTAACCTTGAGCCAGATATACATGTATTCTTTTTGACTCATGAAACCACTTGTAATTCTTCCTATCCTGCTCTACTGTAATCTTCATCACTCAACTCATAACTTTTTTATTAACCTGGATATCCAACCCGCTATGCGAGTCGACCAATCCCAGAACGACCACCTGCTTTGCAGATAGTCCGGAGACACCGCATTTGAACCTCCATGGCCATAAGGGGATTTTTATTCCTCCTTGGCAGTTGGCATTGCCAAATCAGAAGGGAGATCCCACTTTGAAGAAATTAATATAAACGGGAAAAATAAAAAATAGTGGGTGGGACCCTAGAAATATTTAAAAAAAAAGCCTTGAAGAAGGTTTTGTTACCATGGGCATGGGATACATTAAAAGGTTTTTGGGTTGTTGAATTGAGCATTTTTCTTGTCATGGATGCTCTTACATTTGTAGCTTGTGTCGAATTGGATATGATTAGGATAAAATATGGATTGAACATTTATGGTACAAAATCATAATAAAAGCAAGTAATTAAAGAATACCTATTACCTATTACCTATTACCTAACCAGGATTTGTTTCAATCAATCCCAAAAGTAATCCAAGTGTTTAATTATAATCACAAAGAAAGTGAAAAAGAAGTAGCCTTTCTGAATTTCTTGTTCAAATCATAACATTTAGATCACATACAAAAATCATATAACTTAAATAACAACCTTTCTTTTTTATCTAGCCAGCGAGACATGGGTATGAAGAAAAAAAAAATGCTTGGCTTACGGCTTGTCGTCTGTGTCGGAAGTTTCTAATAGGGAATCCTTTTTGGGTTGACTGGTTTTGGGAAGTGAGTAGCTACGACGTTCTTTACCACCGGGTTTGGAGGAGGCGTTACCGTACCAAACCATTCCCATAATTGCTATCATCATCCCCAGAACCACATGAAGATTCAGACCCTCTCTCCCAAAGAAGATGAAACCAAGCATCAGGACCAGTATGGTTTTCATGTGCCCAAGCACTTGGAAAGTAACAGCTGTGAACCTCCCGATGCAGATGAATTGACTCAGGTTCGTCCCAATTGCAATTGTGCAAGATAGGATCAAGAACAACTGCAAACCCATAACCATACATCATTCTTAATTCCCTTTCAAGTATCCAATCAGCTGATTTAAAACTTATGTATGAAAGATACGATGGATCTTCTACTTACCAATGATGCCGTATCATACTTAAAAGCATCCACTCTCTTGTTTGTCAACCAGTAATCCACAAAGGGACCCAATAGTAGCAGGGATCCAGCCTGAATAGGAGCAGTATGTCCCAACAGATTGAAAGAACTCAACGAGTATTTCCTTTGAAGATAATGCACGTACTGTGAATAAATTTGGAGTTAGAACTAAAAAAAACAATCTAGTTGCCCAAGAAACTAAAAATAGACAGACAGCTGCAATTAAATGTTTTCTATATCTATACTACCTTATAAACCAAATTTATCAAAAGTTTTAAAAACAATTTTTAATGTTTAAAGTACTATACATTTATACACAAAGTCTTAAAAACAACTCATAATGCATTAAATATTACTACTTTATGCATTCAGTCTTAAAATCTCTTAATCTACAATTAAAATAACATATAGTACAAGTTACTAATGCATATTATTACCTTTTCTTTTCATGTTCCCAAGATACTTTTGACACCTTTCACTCATGTCTTCACCCTCTCATACCTCTCTGTCTTCTCCCCATCCCCCAAGGTGAGATTCAAATTAATATTCCCAATGAGTTATTAAAAGTTCTCTCATTCAATTGCTCTATAACTCTCGCTCTCGCTCTCGATCTCTTGATTCTTTGCTCTTGGTGTAAATCGAACACATTTGTGGAGTCGTTTAAATATGTTGGATTTTAAATATATTGGATTTTAAACTGTCATACAATTTTTTTCATCGATAGACTGTAATTGAAACCATAACTCTTATTTATTCAAATTGTATTAATATGTAAAGTCCAAGTGTAACTTATATCATCGTTAAATTTTCTCTAATAAAACCAGTGAAACTTCAAAATCGTTAAAATTCAAGGCTCCCGCCGCATTGCGCGGGTACACAACTAGTAACACTTAAACATTAGGTCCATGTAGAGCAATGGGTATTTTTATCTCTGATTTTTTTGTTTTTCCTTATTCTAGATATCTAACAAGGATAAGATTGTCAAGTGTAAAATGAAAAACTTACATATTGTTGAAGAGCTGTACTCCATACTGCAACAAAGGCAGCGACGAAACCTTTAGTATTAACGCTTACATCAGTAACAGTGCAGACAGCAACACCCAAGAGAACGATCAAGATACTGAGCTTTGTGTCCCTTGAATATCGTATCTTATCAAACACAACTTCCAACAAGCAGGATACAGGGATCATACTCAGCTTTGCTATCTGAAAATGATAGTAGAAATTAGATTAACACAAGTATCACAAAGCAAAGCAGTTTTCACACATATTCCATGAGTATTTTAATATAAACATGTAGAGCAGGAAGGTTAGTTAATCATATAAATCACTATAATTTACCTGGTAGAATCCCACAGAGTTCCACATTAGGCTGACATTCATCCCAACAATGGAGAAGTTAGCAAAGAGAACAAATTTCAGAAGATCTGCGACGGGTAGATGGGATGGTTGGATGTAACCCAGCCACCTAAGAACAAGAGTCATCAAGGTCGTGGTAACAAAATGCAACCCCGTTAATGTTGTTGCTGCATACAAAAGAATAATTAGGTACCAGCAACATATAATTATCGACACTGCAAATAAACCTCTGAACGATTATTAAACACCAAAGACGCTCACATCATTGTTATTGAAATGTGACTCTTAAATATCATTGCCAACTGTCATTTGTGAAGACTCTATCTAAGTAGTATTCAAACTTTTTATCTAGTATCCTTACTATTTATGTCCGTTATTATCCCAGTATTGCTGCAATATGGCATATATTAACTACCGTTTGCAACATTTCCCCCTTCACTGTGAAGGATTGAGGGTATATAGAAGTTAACAAAGAAAATTTTCTGGAACAAGAAGATATCAAGCACGACCACCAATATTTAAATGCCAAACTTACCAAATGTGAAACCATATGTTGCCATTAAAGCTTTGTTCACAATGATGATCCCAACTGAAGTGACGATGTTGAACATCCATGCAGCAATGTCGACTGCTGCCTTTTTATCAGCCTTACTTGATGGAGTCATTTTCACTAAATTTTTGGTATTTTCAACAGGACAAGTCTTTTACCCCTTGTGCACAAAAAATAGATTTCTGCAATTCCACATTACCCAAGGAAGCTTTCCTGTTTTGTCACGACTATTTTATGAAATTGATAAAAGATCAAGAATAAGCAATACCCCATAGCAAACATTCACCGAAAAAACAAAGGTATCAAGGGAGAACTAGTGCAGTAATACTGAAACATCAGAAAGCTATCAATGCTCCAAACGTTGCTATTCAGAATCTATAAATAAAGCCAAATTGCCTTGAAAACGAGTCAATATACTTTGTGTACCTAGAGCTAAATTATCACAAACTACCATTTTTTAATGCCATATTTTAAAAGATAAATTTCTGGGAAGTGCTGAAAAATAATAACAGACTTGGGGATTACCAAGAATTTCAAATTAGAAGTCCAAATGTAGAAGGGAGCAAATCCAGATTAGAACACCTAAATTGCAAAGCCATAATGGCTCCTAAGTCCTAAGATATAAAGAGGTACTGGAAATCTTGATCAATAATAGTTTATACTATGTTCAATTATAACCAATATCAAAAGCATAGCAGTCCAGAAGTGAGCAAAACAGTAAACAAATTTTTTTATTCATGGCAGAAACCAAACCATAACAACTACCTTGGTCTTCTTCTTTAGATTTCATCTAGCTAAAACAACACTCCTTTCACCATTAATGTAAAGGAATGGTGCTAGCAGCTTAAGGCAACTAATACCTTGGTGTTCTTTAGATTGTCATCTACCTAAAGCAACACTCCCTTCACCCATTAATGCAGGAATGATGCTAGAAGCTTAAGGCGTGCACTCTACATCACAACTCTAACCGGTCAACATGCCACCAATCCTCCTGAAAAGAACTTGAAAGAAGTTCAAAATTTTCACATATTTGATCCACTTCAACTTAGTTAATTAGCATCACCAAAATACTGAAATGACTTGAACAGGTCAAAATAAATGTGATCCGTAGATTAATCAGATCGTGAACAGTACCTACCGACTTAAAAAAGTTCAACTAATCATCCAACAGCAAGTGAATGCATGAATGTCTGTGCCACTAGATGTAGAAACTGTCAACATGGTCAATCTGCACTATGCGTCAACTTTTTCATCCGATTAACCTAAACGTAATGTCTGTACTGAATTCCCAGGATTGATATTGTTTACAAATAAATCATGTGAGAATCTCAAGATTATGATTGCACTCCACATAACAAGTTCGCAACCCAACTCCTCAACCTGATACTAATCTGCACACCATTCTCCTAAATTCCCGAGCAAACTTCAAAATTTCACTCATTCGATCCGTTTCAACATTAACTAATCAGACAATCAGCAACACCAAATCAGTAAAATAACTTGAATTGATCAAAATCAAAATGCAGATCCATAAATTAATCAGATCGGGAACAATATGTAAACACTTAAAAATAAAACCAATCAACACATAATGTGATTCATAGTCTTAATCTTAGCACCGAAGTTAGATCGCGAGAAACACCTTAATTTGTCAAGTAATTTCAGATCTAGAAACATCAATTTGTATGTAAACTTTTTCTTTTTTCAGTGCACAAGAGCTTTTAACAAATCAAAAGTAGCGTAAACATACCTTGATGAGTAAATTCAGATCTTGAGAAGGAATCACAGAGGTGGCTGGCTGGCTCGCACACACAGTTGAAGGTGTTGTTTGTGTGTGTGTTTGAGCATACGAAGAGAAACGACTTTGACCCAAATATACCCGATGCAGTTCGGAGGAAGGACTTGCACGTTCTCATTCTTGTTTCCAAATTTTCACTCTGTTTTTATAACCTTTTTTTTTATAATTAAAATAAAAATATTTTAACGACATCTGAAGATATTTATATAACTAAATGAATACCTTTTAATTATACTCAAAGACATGTATTTTGCATTCACAATCGTTCAAATTATATGTTTTAAACACAATTCTAATGATATATATATATGGTATATTTCAAATGAAACCATGTTCATTTATACAACTAATGCAACCCAATTAATTAAGATATTTATAGAAATGATGGTAGTTCATTTATTATGATTTAAATATTTATGAAAGATGAATAAGATTCATTAATTATGATTAATACTTTATATTATGAAACAATAAAAATTTCTATGAAATCACATATTAATCAAATTAAATGAACGGTTATGATTGAGTTGTATTAGTTGTATAAATGTAAAGGGTTGTATAATAATCCATCTCTATATAATATAATAATATATATATTTATATATAATTTTATTTATTTATTTATTTAAAAAACGAAATCTTTTTCTTAAAAAAAGAATTTGTTTTCAAATTGATTGTTAATAATCAATCTCTGTTTTCTCAAATTTTTAAATGATATTTTTAAGTATTTGATTATTAATTATACTAGAAGGGTACTCGTGTAATGCAGCGAAATACATCTCGATTTTAATATTTCATTTTATTTTGTCTCCGTCGATGTTACAATACGATTTTATGTGGTATCGAAAAAACAATAATATTTTTATTTTTTTGAATAAAATATAAATTTGAAGGTATCATAAAGTTTTGAAAAAAATTACATCGATTTTAATATCAAATTAAATATTTAAAAATTCTTGTTTTTTGTGTAATTTTTTTAATTCTATTTTTTACTATAATTTAATTTAGAATTAATAATGAAGTTATTTTTTTTTGGTTTAATAATATACTTTTTTATAAAGATAATAATTAGTATTTTGTTATAATTCAACAATTATCCTAAATATATTTTAGATTTTTTATATTTAAAATGAGATACCTATCCAGTATTTGATTATGTTTATCTGTAGTTAGTTACACAAATTCAAACTGGAGCTTTAATAAGTTGTACATATGCACAATTTACTTGTAAATCTTGAATTTTAAATAATATGCATCAATAAACAGTACCTAATGCATAAAAAATGATTTTTAAGAGTTTTTTTCAAATGCTTTATAATATAGTATAAATATTTATTTTTGGTTTAATAATATAGTTTTTTTATAAAGATAATTATTAGTATTTTGTTAGAATTCAATAATTATCCTAAATATATTTTAGATTTTTTATATTTAAAATGAGATACATATACAGTATTTGATTATGTTTATCTGCAGTTAGTTACACGAATTCAAACATGGAGCATTAATAAATTTGTACATACGCACAATTTACTCGTAATCTTGAATATTAAGTAATATGCATCAATAAATATTATCTAATGCATAAAAATTTGGTTTTTAAAAACTTTTGTCAAATGCTTAATAATATAATATAGTATAGTCTGTGTGTGTGTATATATATATATATATATATATAAAAAGAGAGAGAGAGAGAGGAGCAATCAATTGCAAACCATTCTCATTTGTGAAAACCCTACAAACCAATCTCATCTATTCATTTTCTTAATCAATGGTCAAGATTAAATAGTGTTATATTAAGAAATTAAAAAAAAGAAAAAAAAGTTTAATTTTTAATTAAAAAAGGGTAAAATCGGCAAATCACCCATATGAATCTGTTTCATTGTAGGAAACTGTATTTCATCACTGTCCTCTTTATTGTATGCAACTATTTCACTGAGTGAAACTGTATTTCGTTGTATGCAACTATTTCACTATATGAAAAACATTATTTCATCACTGTATGAATCTATATTTCTTAACTAGATGAACATGTATTTCTTCATTGTATGAATCTGTTTCACATTATTTATTTACATGTGTGAATCTGTTCATTGTATGAATCTGTTTCACATTATAAAACTGTATTAATCTGTCATCTTCATTATATGCAACAATTTCACTGTTTCACCGTTTTATATTTTAAAACAATTAACTTACACTTCCATATAAAACGGTTACTATATTTACGTTCTCATATTTATAAAAAATATAATCTTTTCCAATATTATATTTAAAAACAATTGATTTACACCTTCCATATAAACGGTTTCTATATTTATGTTTTCATATTTAAAAATAATTAAATATTTCCAACATTAACCATTATACAGTAAAATGAGAATTATACCTTATTTATTAAAATTACAGAATAAAAAACGGAAATTTCCAATTGGTCGAGACTTGTTTGCATAGTTTTCAGGAATCAAGCGATGTGTAATCTTACCCGCCTCTCTCTCTCTCTCTCTATATATATATATATATACATATATATATATACACATATATATATATTAGAAG